AACCCACCTGGAAAGACTGTCAGCAGCTATTACCCACCCTCTTCAGTGCTGAGGAACCACAATGCATCCTGACTGGAACTAGGCAATGGTTACAACAATAAGCACCTACAGTCACTGTGGATCCTGAGACCTGGGCAAGAGATGCTGCACAAGACATGGCACTGAACTGGAACTTCAATGAAGAAGAGGGGAGAAATCAACTGTGCTGATATAGAGAGACACTACTGGCAGCATCACTCAGTCAAGACTGGAACTCCACACCCAAGAATAAGAACCCCCGCCAAGGAGGAGGACAGGCTCCCTACAGTCCAACTAGTGTGCTTTCTACAGTGAGTTTTGCCATTGAAAAAATGAGTGCCCAAAAAGGGGAGAGAAACCCCAACCAACATCCCAAAACAACACACACTCTGGAAAGAAAAAATATGAGCCTTTAACCATCAAGCCAGGAGTTCCAGAACCTCATTGGCCTTGTGGGAATAAACTCAGACTAGAAAAGACTGGATTCACTGTTCCTGAACCCCCAGGAGCCTATATTTACCTGACTGTCCAGTACCTCTACTAGGTAGAGATTGCTGAGAAAACTAGGGGCACAAATAACCTTCATATGGATATCCAGTTCTCCCAGCACCATTTCCTGAAGAGGCAGTCCCGACCCCAGTGAATAGGCTTGGTGCCTTTGTCAAAGATCAAATGGCTGTAAGTGTGTGGGTTGATTTCTGGATTCTCTATTCTGTTCCATTGATCAATGTGACTGTTTTTATACCAGTACCATGCTGTTTTGGTTATTATAGCTTTGTAGTATAGTTTAAAGTCAGGTAGTGTTATGCCTCCAGCTTTATTTTTTTTGCTCAGCATTGCTTTGGCTATGCGAGGTCTTTTGTTATTCCATACAAATGTCTGGAGAGTTCTTTCCATTTCTGAGAGAAATGTCATTGGAATTTTGATGGGGATTGCATTGAATTTATATATCACTTTGGGCAGTATGGCCATTTTCACTATGTTGATTCTTCCAATCCAAGAACATGGGATATCTTTCCATCTTCTTGTATCCTCTCTAATTTCTCTCAGCAGTGGTTTGTAGTTCTCATTATAGAGATTTTTCACATCCTTGGTTAGCTCAATTCCTAGGTATTTTATTTTTTTGGTGGCTATTGTAAATGGGCAGGCTTTCTTGATTTCTCTTTCTGCATGTTCACTATTGGTGAATAGAAATGCTACCGATTTTTGTGTGTTGATTTTGTATCCTGCTACTGTGCTGAACTCATTTATCACCTCCAAGAGTTTTTTTGTAGAGGCTTTACGCTGTTAGATATATAGGATCATGTCATCTGCAAACAGAGACAGTTTGACTTCATCTTTTCCAATCTGGATGCCCTTTATTTCCTGCTCTTCTCTGATTGCTCTGGCTAGTACTTCCAACACTATGTTGAATAGGAGTGGTGAGAGTGGGCATCCTTGTCTGGTTCCTGTTCTTAAAGGAAAAGCTTTCAGCTTTTCCCCATTCAGGATGATATTGGCAGTGGGTTTATCATATATGGCTTTAATTATGTTGAGAAACTTTCCGTCTATACCTAACTTATAGAGGGTCTTCGTCATGAATGATTGTTGAATTTTATCAAATGCTTTTTCAGCATCAATGGAGATGATCATATGGTCCTTGTGTTTGATTTTATTAATATGGTGTATCACATTTATTGATTTGCGTATGTTGAACCACCCTTGCATCCCTGGGATGAATCCCACTTGATCGTGGTGAATAATTTTACATATGTGTTGTTGTATTCTGTTCACTAATATTTTATTGAGGATTTTTGCATCTATATTCATCAAGGATATCGGCCTGTAGTTTTCTTTATTGGTTATATCTTTACCTGGTTTTGGTATCAGGATGATGTTTGCTTCATAGAATGAGTTTGGGAGTTTTGCGTCTGTTTCAATCTTTTGGAATAGTTTGTAAAGAATTGGTGTCAAGTCCTCTTTGAATGTTTGGTAAAATTCTGCTGTGAATCCATCTGGTCCAGGGCTTTTCTTTGTTGGGAGCTTTCTGATAACAGCTTCAATCTCCTTTACTGTTATTGGTCTGTTCAGGTTTTCTACATCTTCATGGCTCAGTTTTGGGAACTTGTGTGTGTCCAGAAATTGAACCACCCTTGCATCCCTGGGATGAATCCCACTTGATCATGGTGAATAATTTTACATATGTGTTGTCGAATTCTGTTTGCTAATATTTTATCGAGAACGTAACTAGACCCATACCTCTCACCATATACTAAAATCAACTCAAAATGGATTAAAGATTTAAATATACACCCTGAAACAATAAAACTTATTAAAGAAAACATAGGAGAAACACTTCAGCAAATAGGGCTGTACACAGACTTCATGAATACAACACCAAGAGCACGGGCAACCAAAGAAAAACTAAACAAATGGGATTATATCAAACTAAAAAGCTTCTGCATACCGGGGGGAGGGGGGGGAAGAAGATATAACAACTATACTTTTTTGAAGTTGTTACAACAAGCAAACGGAAAGGACATTCTTGTGGGGGAGGGGAGAGAGGGAGGAGGGAGGGAGGTGTCAGTGATGGGCCATAATAATCATATACATTGTATATTGACAAAATAAAAATTTAACGAAAAAAAAATAATAAAATAAATTAAAAAATAAAAAAATACATGCCAGATTTTATTGAAAAAAATAATAATAATAACCTTCATATGTTGTGAAACAGCTCACTTAACTCTAAATAACCAGAAGACCTGACTGATGACTGTAACGGTGCCCAGCGTATAGGAGTGGTGCCTATGCACCAAGGCCAAAAATGACTTAAACCTGAAAAACTGCTGGAAAGGAACAAGAGCCCTACTGAATCAGCTCTCTGACTCAGGATACAAGGTGTCATGGAAAAAGACACAGATATGTCAACAGAAGGTCAGATATCTAGGATACCACATCTTTGAATGATGCCACTCACTGGAAATAAAAAGGAAACAAGCCATTTGTGCCATACCCTGATCAGACACCAAGAGGACGGTCTGAGAGTTCCTCGGGCTGCCAGCACACTAGTTTGGTTACCAGGATACTTAAAAAAGGCTATGTCCTTATATAAAGCAATCAAGGAGCTGAAAAAGAGCCTCTAATGTGGGGCCCACAGTAAGAGCATGCATTTTTAGATAAAACTCTGTTGACCCAGTCTCCTGCCCTTGGAATTCCAAATATAACTCGGGACTTCAACCTCTTTGTACCTGAGAAAGATCATGTAACTGTGGGGGTCTTCACCCAGACCATAGGGCATTGGCAGAAGCCAGTGGCATACTTGTCCAAACAGCTGGATACTGTGGCAGCCGGTTGGCCACCTTGCTTGTGGGCCTTGACAGCCACCATCACCTTAATCCAAGAGACAGACAAACTCACTCTGGGACTAAATCTCAATGTAAAGGTTCCACATGTGGTGACCACATCAATGAACAGTCAGGGATACAAATGGCTGACCAAAGCCAGGATAACTCACTATCAAGAACTGCTCTGTGAAAACCCCTGGGTGTGCTTAAAAAACAGTAAGGACACTGAATCCAACCACACTCCTACCTGCTGAGTCTGGCTCTCTGGACCATGACTGTGAAAAACTGATAGATGAGATATACTCCAGCAGGCCCAATTTAATGGACTTGCCTTTGATTGACCCAGACATGGGATTATTCATGGATGGGAGTAGTTACGTTAAAAAAAGGATAGCAAAGAGCTGGATATGTGGTAACAACTCATAAAGAGGTTATAGAGGCAAAATCCTTGCCTCATGGCTGGTCAATGCAGCAGACAGAGCTACAGACACTTATTCAGATACTCAGACTCTCAAAAGGGCAGCAAGTCAACATTTATACTGACTCTAAATATGCCTTCACAAACTTGCATATCCAGGGGGCCCTATACAATGAAAGGGGCCTGCTAACGGCAGGGGGGGGGGGATAAAAAACAAACAAAAACAACAAAAAAATTCTTCAGCTTGTTGAGACAGTTTGGGAGCCCACCTGTAGTGGGTTAGAAATCGTGATTCTCATTTGATTTTAGAATAAGGTTTTTTGGTAAATGCATGTATGGGGCAAAAGCCCTCGGACAGGGGGCCACAGCCCATAGATAGCGTGGGCAAAGCCCATGTAATCAACTCTTAATCACTGGTTAGGTATGGGATTGTATACTTTAATTATTTTAGAGATGACAGGTGGTTGTCATACCAGTCCTGTTAAGAGATTTTAAGAATTGCTGAAGGGAAAGTTGTGGAAAAAATGTTTACTAGGGGCAAGCTGTCTGTTGGGGGAAACCTTAGAGATAATAGTATTTATATTTTATCATGAGTGTAACTTTTGTTTAAGGAGAGGTCATACTTTAGATAATGAGCCAATGTGACCAATTTAGCTCTTTATAATTGTACTTTGGGATGTCACTTTAATTTACTGATGTTACTAGTTTCCATTGTTAAGCTATACTTGGCCGTAGACAACTTTTGTAACATTGCCCATGTCCTTATGTCCTTCTTTGATGATTGAATCCACTGATTTTTCTTGTGAAACTTCCTTGTCTTGTCAATAAAAAGAAAGGCTGATTTTGGATCGGGGCTGCTCCCCTGATGGGTGGCAGTCCCTCCAGTCCTCATTGATTGTATTTTGAGCTAATTCTTTCTTTCTCTTTTCTCCATCTCAGTTACACAGAGGAAAGTGTAACACCCACCCAAGTGGCTGTTATACACTACAAAAGACATCAAAAATGCACTAACCGGATCAGTGAAGAAAACTGGCTGGTTGACCAGACGACTAAGAGAGGAGCCACCCAAATGGAGCTTGCACATAGCCTAAAGGAAGCTGCCAAAATCTTGCTGGTGCCAGAGACCACACAGCAGATAAGATACACAAAAGAGGAGGCTCTTTAGACAGAAAAAAAGGTGGAATTAAAACCTCTGAAGGGTAGTGGGAGCTCCTGGACCACAGACTGATGGTTCCTGAATGGCTAACTCACCGACTAGTCCTGGAATACCACAGACTGACACACGGGAAAACAGCTCTGGGAACCATGCTGAGTCACTACAACTTCATGCCAAGATTGACTTCTCTTTGCACCCAGGTCAGCTCATGATGTCTGACCTGCATCCTAACTAATGCCAAGTAAGGACCCCAGATTGCCCCCGGAGTCCAGCTAGATGGGACATCACCTTTCAAGGACCCGGTGGTGGACTTTACTGAAGTTAAGTCCTGCAGAGGCTATACGTATATATTGTTGGTGATGATATGTACCCACACTGGATGGACTGAAGCATTGCCCACATGGTCTGAACAAGCCAAAAGGTCACAAAGGCCTTTTTGAGGGAAGTGATCCCAAGATATGGGCTCCCTCTGACTACAGGGTCAGACAACGGGCCAGCTTTTGTCTGTCACAAAGGTCATTCAAGGACTGGTCAAAATGCTGGGGATAAGGTGGAAGCTCCATACAGCAGATAGGCCACAGAGTTCAGGAAAAGTAGAGCACATGAACTGGACCATAAAGACCACATTAGCTAAGTTCTGCCAGGAGAGGGGGCTACCCTGGATAGATATGCTTCCCTTAGCTTTGCTATGGGTCTGGTGCATGACGGAGCCTACGAGATATTCCCCTTTTGAGATTATGTATAGAAGACCAACCCCACTTATAGCTGGACTATAGGGGTTCCCCCACCAGTTGGGGAAGGTAGAAATGTCACAGTACTCACAGTCACTGGCTAGGACTTTCAAACAACTAAGCAAGACAATTTTAGAACAAGCTCCCATCCCATTAAGGAGTTGGGCTCCTCAGTTTCAACCCGGTGACACAGTGTGGGTAAAAGATTTTTAAAAGGCTCCTTTAAAGCCAACGTGGATGGGCCCAGACACAATTGTACTAACCACTCCCACTGCAGTTAAGATTACAGGTCTAACTCCCTGGATCCAGCATACATGGGTAAAACAAGCAGCTTCCCTTGAAGATGCCACCTCATGGTCCATAAAGGCTGACCCCTCTGACCCGCTCAAGGCCTGGTTCCAGAGACGTCCCACTAATCGTCACTGCCCTGCACCTGCACACAGATGAAGCCCGAGGATTTGACAAGCCCTGTATCAGCCCCTCCGAAGGCTGGCTGATCATGTGCATGGCTGAATCTTAAGGATTTTGTCACCACAGGACATAACAAGTGCACTATTTTATTTTTATAAAATTATAAGCATATGCCACCGCTTGCCTTTAATTTTTGTTACATTACTTGCTTTGCTCTTTGCCACGGGATTGACAATAGTAGTCCCAAAAGATTAGAATAGGGTTGAGAAGTTCTTATTAACACTCCTTTATCTCCTGAAAATAGGATGTTTCTTAGACATTCTCTTTGTACTGCTTAGCTCATGGTGTTGGGTGTGCTGAATAAAGTCTGTTCCTACTTCAACCAAGGCTCCAAGGACCTTTTTGCCAGTTACCTAGCTCATACACCTGTGTGTGAAGGGTTTGTGAACGGGCTCGAGGGGTCTGTGAGCTCCAGACCCAGCCCTAGCTCTACAATATCTATGAAAAAAATACTAAGCTGCACGATGACAGTTTACAAGATAAGGAGTTAGGAAAAATGCATCTAGTAAAATTACAGGTATCCCAATTCTTCAGACAGGCCTTTCTATGTCCTTACTCTTAGACAGGATTAACCTTTTCATCATCTATGATAACATGGGTTCTTTTGTAAAACTGTTCTGTAGCATATTTCTTTTCAGCTAGGGAACTCTTCCAGCTTTTTTCTCATCCAAGAAATGAAAACAACAACTTAATAAGAATTTTTAAACATTCCTGATAGAGAAATATGAAAAATAATGTAACACCCAGTTTTAACAAGAATCAGGTCAAAAGGGCAATATCATGTATTATAATGGAAATTTATTTTTTGAAGAGAACATTTACAATATGTTTAAAAATTTTAAGAATTATTTATCTTCTTTGATCCATTGAATCAGTCTAAGAAATTCGTTAGGATAAAGTAATCAAAGACATGCATGAAATACTTTATATGAGAAGGTTTCCTATGTGATCTGTTATGTTGAATAACTGAAACAAAAATCTTAAAAGTGAATATTTTCTGACATATAAATGTGTATATTTATATAAACATATGAATATATCAATTATATGTAGTGTGTACATCCTAGTATATTTATATTTGTATATGTTTATCTGCATATCTATATCGTTATTGATATTTTAAACCTGGAATTATGTACAAAAAATATTAAGTAGCTTTCATTTGTTCATGAATATGAATAATTTTCATCTTCATACTTTTCAGGAACTTCTCAAATTGCTATGTTGAATGTTACTGATTTTATAATTAGAAAAAAAGTTTTAATATGTTTGAGGTTTAGAGTTAAATAATGTTTTTTTTTTTTTTTTTTTCCGCCCTGTACCGGACCGGGGACCAGCAACGGGATTGCAACCCTCGGCGTTGCTCCCGCGCCTCGCTCAGCCAGTGAGCGGGAGCCGGTCTGTATGTGGGATCCGAACCCTCGGACGGGAGCGCCGCCGCGCTTCCCAAGCGGTGCACCATCCAGTGCGCCACCGGGCCGGCCCTAAATAATGTTTAATAATTACTATTTTGTTGTTATTGTCATTAATAAATTATCCACTAATTCCACTCTAACCAATAAATTCATATTCAATGTACGTTTTTAGCACCACAGGAATTAGCTACGTCACAATACATGTGACAGTCACAGCAATTACAAATAGTAGGTGTTATTGGCCCTGTGATGATTAATTCTATGTGTCAACTTAGCTGGGGCCATGGTGTCCAGATATTTAGTCAAATTTATTCTGAAAGTTTCTGTGAAGTGTTTTTTAAATGAGATTAACATTTAAAGCTGTGGACTTTGAGTAAAGCAGATCAGCCTCCATAATGTGGTAGGGCCTCATTCAGTCAGCTGAAGGTCTTAGTAAAATAAAAGTTGGCCTCCCCTGATATCCTACAAATTTTGAATTTACCACATCTCCACATTCCTTAAAATCTTTCTTTCTCTTCATATGTACACATACAGTTGGTTCTATTCCTCTAGAAACCTCTGACTGATATAGGTCCCATTGCACAGATGGGCAGACTATTACTTTGCCAAAGATCACATGGTAATGGTGGTAAAGTTGGGAACTGAACCCAGGTCTTCTGACCCCAAGTCATTCTACTGATCTTTGTATTAACCCAGAGTCACAAAACAACCTCCTTAATCAAACATGCTGTTTCTCTCCAGAATTATTTTCTCTGTGAGTTCAACATGGGTTAAAGCATTTTGGAAAGTTCCAGATAAAATATGCATGAGCTACTTAGAAGAGGAACCACTTTTCATTTTAAGAACTTTGGTTTATTATGGGAAAAGTCACATTTAAATGGCATAAAACATTTAAAGTGCTTTCATAAAGTTGAAGGAGCAGTCCATACAAATGTGAGCAGAGGTTTTGTCAATAATTTTACATTAGTATGAATTTGGTAACCTTATTCTCTGCATATTAATGGTTTTAAAAGAATGAACTGGTGTCTGCAAAATAAGTGAGCATAGGAGGTTATTCAAAATAAGGAAGTAAGTTTGCCCTTAAGAACTTCTCACAGGTATTTGGAATAAGAACTTACCTGGACCTCCTCTCTTATTCCCTCTCGCTAGCTGATTGCTCTGAATGTCTGAATTATTATCCGATCACCAGTTTTATGTGTTTTTTGGTAGCTAAAGCATTAGAATAAGATGGAATATAATACCATATAGTATAGTATGATATGGTACAGAGCAATGCAGCCCACTAAAATACAGTGTCATACAATACAATACAATGTCATGCAATGCCATTCAGTGTCATGCAATGCAATGACATGCAAAACAATGTGAGGTTACTTCAAAAATTTGTGGAAAAATTGAATGAAAAGTAATATGAATCCATTCATGAACTTTTGAAGACTCCTCGTATACTCATAGAGAAGATTTTTAGAAGAGGAAGGCACTGAGAATTCCACTAGTCTGGGCTCCTTGTTTCTTTTTTTTTTTCCTTTTTGTCTTTCTTACTGACCGGTAACGGGATCGCAACCCCCGGTGTCGCACCCACACCGCGCTCAGCCAGTGAGCGGGAACAGGTCTCCACATGGGATCCGAACCCTCGGCGGGAGCGCCGCCACACTCCCAAGCAGCACACTCTCCAGTGCACCACCGGGCCGGCCCATGGGCTCCTTGTTTCTTACTGAGGCTCAAAGAGGTTAGTGATTTACGTGATAGTTCTTGAAATCTTTTAAACATGACAATACTGAAGTGAATATGCATGCCATTTAGTGAAACTGGAGGACATTCTAGTTCATCAGTGGAAAACAAAAGAATATAAAAGATAGAAGCTGAACATCTGGGGAAAAAAAAAAGGAAAGAATCCAGATTTCTTGCAAGTACCAAACCGTGCTATGCAGGGCCTTTGAGGTTGATTTGAGTTCCAGTTTCAGGGTGGGGGAGTATGAAACTTTGCACATCTCCAGCAGCAAATTAGCTGCTTTTAAAAGAAATATCAGGAATCCAGATGTAAACATCATTGTTTTGAAATTTAGTGAATACCCCATTCCTGAACTGCCAGGATCTTTTTTCACACTGCCAAGAAAACTGAAAGCTCATGTTTCTGACTTTCTCCTTAGACTAGATTCTTACAGTCCTGGAAATGTACCATTATGAACTGTAATGCCTTATTTAGACATTTCTATGTACAAATACGTTTTGGCAATTAGTTAAAATAAGATTGGTTATTTCTTTAGAAACATTAATTCTTAACTTAAAAGTAAAATTGTTTATAAATTTATTTTAGTGGGTAATATAATGAGTTACTTGGGTAAGCACAGGGTCAGGTGCTTTTACAGGACATTCTCCTGACCATGCAGGATGGGGCTCCTCTTACTGCTCACTGTGATAAAAGCAACTTCTCAGTCTCCCCTCAGCTCTCTTGACAAAGGAGTTCATTAAAAAGGGCTTGAAGGGCCGGCCCGGTGGCGCACTGGAGAGTGCCCCGCTTGGGAGCGCGGCAGCCCTCCCGCTGAGGGTTCGGATCCCATGTGGAGACCGGTTCCCGCTCACTGGCTGAGCACGGTGCGGGCGCATCACCGAGGGTTGCGATCCCGTTACCAGTCAATAAAAAAAAAAAAGACAAAAAGGAAAAAAAAAGGGGGGGACACAAAAGGATGGAAAGAAATTCTATGCTCTTGGATTGGAAGAATTATCATGGTGAAAATGTCCTTACTGCCCAAAGCAATATACAGATTCAATGCAATCCCCATAATACCAATGACATTCTTCACAGAGGTAGAAAAAACAATTCTGACATTCTTGTTGAGGAAACAAAAGAAGACCCCAAATAGCCAAAGCAATCCTGACTTCAAATTATACTACAAAGCTATAGTGACCAAAACAGCATGACACTGACTGATGTCTGTTTATGATTCTGAAATTCGAATGTTAAGTACGATATTCAGAAGACTATATTAAGAAGCACTGAAGAAGATTTTTTGTTTGTTTTGTTTTGTTTTTCAGATGATGACGTTAGCAATATAAGAGTCTGGTATGATCGTGAGATCCATAGCTCTCCTGGACCATCCTTAGATGTTACTGAGACGAAGTGTACCACACTGGTAAGAGCCCATTAAATGTTTCATAGGCTCTGTCTTTTCACAAACAGTTAGAGCTTGTGTTGTACACTAAATCGCTATCCCTAAAAATATCCATATCAGATGAGTATATTAACATAAATTATTCAATCATAGCAATTTCATTTTTAAATTCACTACTATGGACCTTAAATGCTTTTGGAAAACACTTTTTGGTTACAGGGCATCTTAGAGTGACTGCACTGCTTAGCATTCTACCTGAGTGTTTCAAGTATTGCTAGAGCAAACTTAACCTTAGTCTACATGCTTGTCCTCACATACACGATAAAAGCGGTGTTGTGCTCTTCAGGGTCTTTCAGCATTGATTCCTCCTGGGTTCTACAGCACTCCTTCCACTTTGAAATGTATTTGGAGCAACTGGCACAGATTGGGGTTTTAAGTAATAGTGACTAAGAATAATATTGTCTTATGTGAACTATATAAATCTGTGTCCAAGATTATTTAACAAAGTCAAATATAAACAGTCTTGATTTAAATGAAACATAAGGACAGTATTAATAGCTGTGAACAATGTTTCAATTAAATTTAATTGCCTTATTAGTAATCAAATGTTTAAATTGATAATAGTCCAATAATTGTAATTTTCATTTTTATATATGTGGATAGATTTCTTCATAGAATTGATTATTTAGAACCTTGAAACTTAGCTCTAATAAATAGAATGTAAGAAAAGATTTAAAATACTTTGTCTATAAATTATTTGCCCACCTTGTTTCTGGATAAGTCTCCACTGAAGCATTAAAAAAAATGAATGGTTAAAATACTGAAATGAACTCAAGTATAGCTTGCAAAAATATTATATTATAAGTAGAAAATTATTAAATATGATGATATTAGGATCATTTTACTTAGTGAAAATGTCCTATTTCTGTGACCTGGTTATCACTGCAGAATAAAATCTTTTCTAAAGGTTATTTTTAAATTAAATCACTTTAATTACATGACATATTTCTATGGTAACTGATTACTGAATTAAAATTTATCCTTTATCAAGACATAAGAGAAAAAAATTAAATGGGCCCTGAAAAAATTGGGATCATGAGGTAGACACTCAGAAATAAGGACACTGGCTTCCTTATTAACTATATGTTCAAAATAGAGATGAGTTTAAATATGCAACAAAAACTAGAAAAAATAGATGAAATTTTAAAATCACATAGACATACAACTGTTGCATCTTCTCATTAAATGGTACATAAAATACCTTTTTTTTCTGCAAGAGCTATTAGCCCTTCAAGAAAATACTGATATAGACTGAGGTATTTATAATTTTCAACTTTGAATACTGAAGAATGTTACGCAGGTTGAGAAACACACACCATTTGGGTACTCTATATGTGAGCAAAAACTAAAAAGAAGCCACCACCTGTCTCTTTTAATGAGACATTTCAAATATGTTTTTATTTTTGAAATTAAGATGTGCATATACCCTTCCAGGAATATATGATTATTATTTTTATAAGCAATGTACTCTCAAATAATGGCCCGTGTCCATTTTTCCGTAAAAAACTTGCCCCTTTCCATGCAGTAAATTTTATTGTAGCCTAATGCTAATTCAGTTTATACTGATTTCCTATCAGTTTTTAATTTAAACTTCTTGTTTTGGTACCACAGTGGGATACCTGTAACTCATCTTATGTGCATATATTTTCTGGTTGGTATCAAGTATATTATTGCTTTTATTTTTCATTATGAACAGTTAGCACAGTTATTTCATAAAGACATTTAAATAATTTTCTTTCCTGGTCTACTTTGTTGAAAATGCAATTCTTGCATCCACATTTCATTGAGTAGTTCTATATTATAATGCAAGAGCAAATCCTCTTAACACCATTAGCTGCTAGATTGTTCTTTTTGTTACTAAAGGCATGTTTGCTGTCTTACTTAAATGTTCACTTTCAACTGTGTTTGGTGAAGAAGGGGAATTTTTTTTGGACTAAATCTATGTACTACCTATGCAGGCTACTGTAGGGGCCAAATGAAAACTTCAGCACTAAAGATTCATTAATAAAAATCACTGAAAAATTTAGATCACTGTGAAAAAGGCATAACAAATTTTATTATTTAACGTGCTGAGAGGAAGCAAAGCATAGGGGAATCACCAAAGAGTAATGTTGCTATGTTCTATTGGAGTATAGAGTTAAGATACCCATCTCCATAAGGAGAAGGGAGATGGGGGTTGTAGGAGTAAATGATTCTTAGGGGGATGCAATGGGCCAGGAGAACATGCAATGGCCGGGGACAAAGTCTATTTGTCGTGCAAAGTAGACAATGATTGGTAAATGATTCCCTTCAAAATAAGGACCGAAATATAAGACAATAGTCTGTGGCCAAAGTTAGTCCAAGTGTTTTGACAGATTCCAGTCTTCCTTCCTGTGATATGAGTTAAGTTAATTAAAACTCAAGGAAAGGAACAGAGGCAATTTGTCCAGACTTTAGGAAAATGAAGGAATAGCTTCATTCTATGCTTTGGAGAGTAACAGAGAATTGACAGACAGGAAGGAGAGAGGAAGGTCAGAGAGACCTTGAGGCTGCTTCTTTATCCCAGCATGTCAAGGCATCATAATTTAGGGTAACAGCTTTCTGCACCTCAATATTGCCAATGATAGTGATGTTGTTGCCAAGCTATGAAGTGTTCCAGCCATTCTAATAGTAATTGCCTAAGGTGAAACGTATGTCCTGTTAAACTGTCAGATGTGAACATTTATTTGATAGAGATAGCATGGCTTTCATTAAATAATGAATCCTTTGTTCACGACTTGAAGAAGATGCTTTCTGAGTACTTTCAGAAATACACTAAAATTGTTGTTCCTACCTATATATTATTTCCTAACGTTTTTGGCTGCAGTTGCTGTTTTACCAAATCATTTAAGAAATATTTTACTTAAACCTTAGATCCTCAGATGTGGCAATAAAGCACTCAAGATGCTAAGTAATCTCTGATTTTCCACCCACATCTCAACTTTTATTATATTCAACCCAATTTCCACATCTTCCCTAGAGATGAATGAATGATCAGAATCTGTCCCCAATAAGGGTCATGTAAGAAATATTTGCATTCTTGAGGAACATAAGTTTGGTTACTTCTTACTGCAGGCTCC